CAGACCACTTTTTCAAAGTGCTCTGACAGAGTTAAAACATGTGAAGCTGGCAGCTCCCACTACCGTGCTATGACCAAGCAGGGTAAAGGAATAGCATTATTACTTGATGTTAGGGAGACTCCTATATATGTCGACCTCCATCCCCAACGGACAGGCAGACCTGCAAAAATGCTCAACCCTTCCTCTTATCTGAGAGGGCACTCCCAACGAAGCCTTTCGAAATATTCAGCTTTCTTTCCCCCCGATAATACCTCTGTAAACAAGCTATACTAGAGCAAGAATATCTCATATCATCAGGGTTAAAAGCAAGAGTATCCCATATCATGCTTTTTCCCTGTCTTTTCCTTTGGCCTTGTTCTTACCTGCAAGACAAGGAGAAAGAGAGCAATCAGTCAGCACTTGGAATCAAGCTTCCAGCCAGGAACTGACTGCCTGGAACCCCTTACCTGATTACTTACCTGGCATTGCTCTCGAGTACTCATCTTCAACATCTTATGCTTCCAGGGAAGATACCGCATCTGCCTGAGGAACAGATAGGGCAAGTGAGAAGGATACAAGGAAGCATGTGGAGACAAGCGTAACAGCACACGTGCCGATACATCCATTACTCTGTCAAAAGCAAAAGTATCCCATATCAGCAGGGTCGAACGTACTCTAGATTTGATGGACTTGTTTTGACCCTCAAATTCTTCAGTCGGCCTTATACTCTGGAGGAAACCAGAAAACCCTCCAGCCCAGTTCAAGAATAAGCCTGTGGAAAGTTACTTCTTCAAAAGCAAAAGTATCCCATATCATCTCTTCTCATTTTTCTTCTCTTTATCCTTCATGCTGCCTGCAAGATAGGGAGAATGTGAACAATCAGCCGGAGCTCTGATTGCTTACCTTGTCTGTCACCTCTTTCAGCAGATCCCCTAGCTCGGCGACTTGGGGGACTCCTACTACATGGTTTGTATCGCGCTTGACCAAGCCTGAAACTACAAGTAAGCTTCAAGTGAAATTGATACATTACCTTGTGCATCTCCACCAGTTACAAGATACCACCCCTGGATGGAGGAAGAGTACTTCCAGAGAAGATGCCACATCTACCTATGAGACAGATAAGGCAAGTCAAGACGATACCACACTCCGGTACTTAGAAGTTTCGTGGTTACGAGATCATTCTCCCACAATATTTCCTAATGTCATTTGTACTAAATCATTCACTTGTACTCACTAAAGGAGAGCTTGAACCTATGTACTTGTGTAAACCCTTCACAATTAATGAGAACTCCTCTATTCCGTGGACGTAGCCAATCTGGGTGAACCACGTACATCTTGTGTTTGCTTTCCTATCTCTATCCATTTATATACTTATCCACACTAATGACCGGAGCAATCTAGCGAAGATCACAAAAAGTGACCGTTTTCGCTACCTAGGATCTATCTTGCAAGAGAACGGAGAATTAGATGGAGATCTCAACCATAGAATACAAGCTGGATGGATGAAGTGTAAGAGTGCATCCGGCGTGTTGTGTGACCGTCGTAGGCCACTGAAGCTCAAGGGAAAATTTTATAGGACGGCAATAAGGCCAGCGATGTTGTATGGCACAGAATGTTGGGCGGTGAAGCATCAACACGTACACAAAATGGGTGTAGCGGAGATGAGGATGCTTCGTGGGATGTATGGGCACACGAGAAAGGATAAGATTGGGAATGAGGATATCCGAGGTAAAGTAGGAGTAGCCAAAATTGAAGGAAATATGAGAGAAAATCGGTTCCGGTGGTTTGGACATGTGCAAAGAAGGCCTATTGACGCTTCGGTTCGAAAATGTGACTACGGGACAGAGGTTCAGGGCCGAAGGGGTAGAGGAAGACCTAGGAAAACTTTGGAAGAGACCCTAAGAAAAGACTTGAGTACTTGGATCTAACGGAGGACATGACACAAAACCGAGCGCAATGGCGTTCTAGGATTCATATAGCCGACCCCACTTAGTGGGAAAAGGCTTTGTTGTTGTTGTTGTTGTTGTTGTATTAGCTTGTGCATTGCAGAACCTATAAGGTTCTTATCAGTTTCTATCTTTCTTAGAAATTAATGTCATAACAATGATTGTCCAAACTTTTATTGTTTTGTACATCTTGTTTGCTAGTAATGATGGTTTAGTGATAGGAGCATATTTATGTGACTTAGTTAGCTTGTTTTCTTGCATTTTCATAGTTAGTTTCTGTTTATTATAGTGATTTAAGCTATTTTCATGTGTTTGTAAGTCCAAATGACAATGTTGGCAAGAGAGTGCATTTTGGAGCATTTTAGAGCAGTTTTGGGCTGGAATGGATAGCTTACATATGGAGCACAAAGAATGGACGAATTTGAAGTTCAAGAGAGGCTAGGAATGTGCTAAAAAGATGAAGAAAATAAAATCAAGACAAAGAAGATAAGGAATCAGCTAAAATGAAGGAACATTATCCAAAACCTTATCCAACCTTATCTTATCCAAACTAACCTTATCTTATCCTATCCTATCTTAATCTTATCATACCTTAATTCCAGCTTCAAGGGGGGGGATCAATTACACTTTAAATAACCTAAATACCCCTTTCTAGAAGCCTTATCACCTGCCCTAGATTGGTGCTGCACCTTTTATTGCTTTTCTTTTACAAATGTGCCAGATATTCCATTCTAGAAGCTTTGGCCGAATTTCCTAGTCATTTTTCTCTAGGATTGTGTAATCATTTTCCTCCACTACTTTGTGCAAAACCCTAGTCATTTTCCTTCAAGAATTGTGTCAAACTTATCCCTCTCATCTCAGGGATTTGTGCCGAGTTTCCTAGGCCTATAAATACATATATTCTGCCACAAATCAGAACCACCACCCTCTACCATCAGATCACCACACCATCCACCACAAATTCGTCCCATACATCCAAAAACTCAGAAAATCTCCATTCTGCCGCAGCTGTGCAAGGAAGGAGAAGAAGGAGCCACCTGGAGCCGTGCTTGCCATTCAAGACGTTGGATTGTTGGAGCGTTTCTAGGTGTATTCTATCTTTGTTTTCAATGTTTAAATTTAATTGTCTTTGTTTAATTGCGAACATGAAGAACTAATTTCTTTATAGTTGGAGGTGAATTCGAAGCCATGATTATATGTTTTATATGAATTGATTACATCCAGTTATTGTTTCTTGAGTCTTGAATGTGATTTGCTTATCTAAGATATCAAAACTTGTTTATGTATGTAGACTGAGAGTCGACACTTAATTTGCATGCATGAATCTGATGCTAGAGTATAAGGGAGTTTCACCTAATCGTTATGAACTTATATTCACAAGTAGTGGAAGTCACTAGTCATGATTGTGTTAAGTAAATTCTAGGCAGAAGTATCATGCTTTTCATAGTTACGAATGCTTCGTCAATGCTTATGGTCTTCAAAGAACTTAATGACCTTTGATATGTCTTTCTATCATGCTTTTCATAGTTAGGGAACTTGATAAGGATAATTTGGTTGCGATGTGTATTCCATCCAATTCAATGAATTAAGGAAAATCTTATGGTTAATTTGTGCTATCACGGTTAACTTGGGGTGTTGTCATTCATAGTCTAAAGGAATAATAACTAGAAATTGGTTTGTATGCATATGTCATATGTGGAAGGACCCTCTAACTAGCCATTCACCCATTTAAATCACCAATTTCGTTCAAAGTAATTTAGAGTCTTAGATAACTTAGTTTAAGTTTTAAATTTGTCAAAATCAATCTCCCCCTTTATATTTCATGTCTTTAGGTTAGAATATGTCCAATTGGTGTCTTATTAGTGTTTTGAGTCAAGTTTAGTTAAAATTCGTCCAAATTCATCCTTAGTGTTAGTTTGGAGTCAGTTTGCTTGTTTTGTGCTGTTTTAAGTAGTTTGAGTCAGTTTTGAGTCATAAGAGTCAAGTTTAGTGTTTTGGAGTCTTATTTGTGTTGATTAGCAGCCATTCTAATCCCCGGCCTAAAACAATCCCTACTTTCATATACTACAATTATAGGGTTTTAATTTGAGTGTTAGAATATTTCACATCATTTAGCCACTCAATTTAGTTGCATATTTTGTTCGCTGTAATTTGGTTTAACAAAAAAGCAAAGTATCACTGCTATTGAGTTCTTAATGCAGATTGAAAGTTTTGGTCATTGAACATGACTGGAAATAGATCCTTTCATTTTTTTTTTTTTTTTTTTTCATTTTCACTTTCATTTGGATGTCATGAAGATGATTGCATTATCCACCAAGTTGGAAAAAGAGGTGAATCTTTGATATGGCATATCTGGAACTTTTACGTATTGATTTTAACTAACTCCATTTTAGGTGTAATTTTAGACTGATTTTGTTTTGAATTCGACTATATTTGTTATGGTTTCTGATGAGGTGCAAGGGTTGCTGGGGAAAATGCATATGTCCAAAAATATGTGCTTTCAAGTTTTATTGTATCAGAGATAAAATATGTAACATTACATTGTATATGTGAGATTGGGAATGTGTTGTAGGCCTTTTCATTTTAAGAAAATTAAAAAATTTCATTTCCTCAATTTTAGTTTCAAATTTTGATTTTTTTTAATATTTAATTCATTTGGCACAATTACAATATGAAGTGCCAACTTGTCTGGAAAAGGTTATCTGACAAGTTGTCATAAACAAGGCACAAATAGTGGTCCATTTGTGCCTGCCTCTTTGAGCACCAAACATTCTATTGTGCCCTTTTTGCAAAGGTGACGCCCATAGAGGGCACAAATACAAATATAGTTGTTCATTGTTGCTATTGGTCTATGGGCATATATGTTGGTGCTCTTTGGCCTCAAAGGGCACATACAATTTATTGTGCGTAGTGGCCATTTTGTTGTAGTGTGAATGCCTAGAACTAAAACAACAGTGTGATGTTATGCCTACTGATAGGAGCATATTTATGAGACTTAGTTAGCTTGTTTTCTTGCATTTTCATAGCTAGTTTCTACTTATTATAGTGTTTTAAGCTATTTTCGTGTGTTTGTAGGTTCAAATGACAAAGTTGGCAAGAAAGTGCATTTTGGAGCATTTTATAGCAGTTTTGGGCTGGAATGGATAGCTTACATATGGAGCACAAGAAATGGATGAATTTGAAGTTCAAGAGAGGCTAGGAATGTGCTAAAGAGTTGAAGAAATTAATTCAAGACATTGAAGATAAGGAATCAGCTCAAAAGAAGGAGATATTATCCAAACTACCTTATCTTATCCAAAACCTTATCCAACCTTATCTCATCCAAACTAACCTTATCTTATCTTATCTTATCCTATCCTACCTTAATTCCAGCTACAAGAGGGACTCCTTATCACATTAGAATACCTAATATTGATTCTAGAAGCCCAGAAACAATGCAAATAACCTGATCCTTTTTCCCCCTAGAAATCTGACGAATTTAATCCCTTTCTAGAAGCTTTGTGCTGAATTTCCTAGTCCTATTCCTCCAGGATTGTGTAATCCTTCTCCTCCACTACTTTGCACCAAACCCTAGCCTATAAGTCTGAGGGTTAATTTGTGCTGTCACGGTTAACTTGGGGTGTTGTCATTCATAGTTAAAGAAACAATACTGGAAATTGGTTTGTATGCATATATCATGTGTGGAGGACCCTCTAACTAGCCTTTCACCCTTTTCAATTCACCAAACTCGTTTTATTAAAGTTTTTATGCAAAGTTTCTGTTTTAACTTTTAAATTCGTCAAAAACAATCTCCCATTCATTAAGTCTTGTTAGTTGAGTCATAATCTGTTTTTCTTTTAGTATTTTGAGTCAAGTTAAGTTTTATTTTCGTCAAAATCACTTGTTAGGTCTAGAATTGAGTCTTTTTTATTGTTTGTTGCTGTTTTGAGTGTTTTAAGTCAGTTTTGAGTCTATAGAGTCTAATTTAGTGTTTTTAAGTCTTATTTGTGTTGATTAGCATATCTAGTTAATCCCCGGTCTAGAACGATTCCTACTTACATCTTTACTACAATTGTCAACAATAGGGTTTAATTTGTGTGTCAAGTAATTTTCACATCACCTACGCACAAAAAAATTGTTCCTTTAGGAACAAGAATATAATTCCAGAAGGGTTTCGATCCAACATCACCATTCTCCTTCTCTTTTTCTTTTGTTAGTTTCACGCCGGGCACACCCTTGAACCTTTGATATATCCGCTTATCTATTATTTGCACTGAGGTAAGCCGCATAAGGATCCTCGGGCAAAACCATATCTCCATTTACATATCCTCCTTGGCTTTGATAATTTGAAGGACCCACTGTTGTTACTGCATCCTGATGAGCATTCCCTAGCTTCTCAGCTGATGTCCCAACTGTCAAGAGACTTTCATAGTTTCCGGATTGAGTAACTTGTCAACCCTACATTACCCGGACATGAAATATATATGCAATGACACGTACTGCTTGATGAATAAGGCAATTTAAAACTTCGGAACAAATAAAACGGGAATGAGTGCTAATAACGACATACCAAAATTATACAATTTTCGAGAGAAATTCAACTTGAAAAGTCACCAGAATTACAGTTTTCTTTGCTAGAGCATCCATGGCACAATCCTACAATGAGACTTCAATCAAATCCAGTTTGCATGCTTCATAAAACCCTTGACTTTGTCTTTCTTACATGAAAGAGAGTTGTGGCAGTATGTGCATCCACTGTGCTAAAGGGGTCATCAAGGAAATACATATCAGCATCAGTATAGACAGCTCGGGCCAAGTGAATCCAATGCTTCTGTCCTCCACGCATGTTAACCCCCCTCTGGCCTATTTCTGTAAGATCACCATCCTCAAAACTGTTAATGTCCTTATCCAGAGCACAAGCTTTTATGGTATTCTCATATTTATTCTTGTCCGTTGCCTTCCCAAAGAGTATATTTTCACAAATTGTCCTGCTTTGTATCCAAGAAGTCTGAAAAACGTGGGCTATCGTTTCAAATACATCAACCTGGACGGAAGCCAGAAATTAGTGGAAAAAACTTAGGGTGTGACAATTAATAAAAAAGTTCATCTCTTTTTAAACTTCCTGTTCCTGGAGTTTTCGGCATCTCTACAAGTATAGCTAGCATATAAAAGTGATGATTTTCATCCTCCAACTGGTCCTCAAACTGCAACTTTCTGCTCCCTTTTCACTTCTAAATTCACGGCATCTCTACAAGTATAGCATATAGAAGTGATGATTTTCCTCCTCCAATTGGTCCACAAACTGCAACTTTCGGCTCCCTTTTCCCTTCTAAATTCACGTCTCTCAGATTTGGAATTGTTGATTGTTAGGGATACCAGCTAAAAATTCCCCTTGCTATTCTTAAGCTCTCATCTCCCCTCAGTGACGGTAAGTTCCCTAGTTCATTATCTTTTAGATCATCATCAAGCAAAAATATATTTAGCCGATCAAATGAGACCTTGACTTGGATCATTGCTGAGATCTGGTATCATTTTTACAGTTTCTCCAATGCTCCTTAACGAAGCTAGAATCGTGAATATGGTACTTGCATTTAGAGGTACACTTTGAAAAATGATGCATCCCAGAGAGAGAACCTAAGAGATGATGGTGGGCGACATCTAATATAGTAAATTGCATTTAACTTTTTCGAACTGGAACCCCGCCAACCATTTTGCGAACCCACCAAGTTTTTGAATCTCTCTTCCCATGGTTGTGACTTAATCATTTTCATACTGTTGAGAATCTCAGAATTGGCTCTTAGTCGCTCATCTTAAGCTACCATGAACTAGGACTGGAACTTTTGAATTGCCTTAGAAAATGGCATAGTCAGGAAACCACAAATGATGAGAGGAATAGGTGCAATGCTTAGCTCCATGCTGAATGGAACCACCATGGGAACCCTCTCATTCGATAGGCATCAATAGCTCTATAATTTACGATCTCCCCAGATGAGTGTCATCTTCTTCCCAAACCAGAACCTTCAGTTGCTTTCGATAGACTGACACCATCAAGGCTCACCTTTCCAGACCTCTTTGAGGCAAAAAACCTACGTCTCTAACTCAAACACTCAACCACCTTGAAAAATATTACACCCCACTATAGTGAGGCCTTCAGAAAGACATTTGAATAATTTATGAAAGCAAAGAGAATAGGGGGAGAAACTACAACCGAAATGGTCCTGATGAATGCATAAAAGGCTATCCATATTTTTTTTTCATGTAAAGTGTTTGGATCAAAACTTGATTTTTGGCCCAAGGATGGAGTCAGCCCAAAAGGAGGCCTGGAGGAATAGAAGATCAAAGCCCGGCCGAAACTTGGGAAAGCAGGAAAGGGCCTTTTCTGACTTGATACAATTCACAAAGGCCACTTGCCTACCTACCCAAGGACCAAGTGGTGTAGACTGATCAGACTGCACAGCCCATAAAGTACTTTATGGGGGGCATTACATGTAATAAAACTGATGAGTCATCACCCTCAGACCGCATTCGGGAAAAGCTGTTGCTACAGGAGCCAAACCAAGTCGTCTATAAAAGGAGGAAGAGAAGACAAAGATAGGGACACTCAATCAAACAAACAAAAGCACAAACTCTGCTCAAAAAGCCAGATTTTCCTTTCAAAACAAAGCTGTAGTCAGCTCAAGCCTTCATCCCCTGCGGGATAGTCTTTTCTCCTAACCTTTGTAATAGCTCTGCTACCTTGTTCAAACTTGTCGTAGTATCGATTCACCTTTTGTATTCTCCCTTCCCCTCTCCCCCTCTAAGCTTTCAGACCCTTGACAGAACTACAAAGATAGGGACCTGCAAGACGATCGGCCTTAATTGATAAGGTTTAATCTTGCCCGACCTGCTTTGTTCTGTCTTTGTCTTCTCTTTCTTTAAAGTCTAGCAATATGTTGTATATTTCTAGTTATATGCAAGTTGTTTCTAGCAAAATCATGATGACAAAGCTTTCTCAGTACTTGGATCCGATTTAAATATATCTTCAGTGTTTAAATCAGATCCAAGTCCTAAGCCCGCAGGCATGTAAATCTGATTAGTTTAAAAGTCCTTGGCCTCAAGGCATAAAAAAGAACTTTATGTGGACTTAACCTATCCACGACAATCCTTGATAAACGAGAAGTCCGAAGTTACTTGGGGCGCAAGTAATCGACCTACCTCCTGGTTTTATTTCTATTATATCATGATTATCATAGAACGCTTAAGTATGGAATGGATTCTGATAGGAAGTCTCAAGGCCTACACCTAAGACCCCACAAAGGCACTTATCTGGATTCATTCTATTCTGCGGTCTAAATGGTTTGAGTATAAGAACGGACTCTAATAGGAAGCCTCAAGGCCTACACCTAAGGCCCCACAAAGGCACCTATTTGGGTTCGCTCTACCTCGCAGACTCGGATAATCAGAAATATAATAGTTATCAGACCCCGACAACCATAAAGACCGAATATAATATGCTCAAGTGCTGATTTAGTTTGATAGGAAGCCTCAAGGCCTACACCTAAAGCCTCACAAAGGCGCCTGTTATATCTAACACGGTTCCTCGGGCATATGCATATTCCCAACTAAAACTTGACATCCATTCGACATCTGCCATGCTGAAGATGGCAGTGGCACGCCTGAGCACTACAATGTTAACCTTGATTGTGAGCCTTAAGGCCTACACCTAAGGCCCCACAAAGGCACCTCTCAAAGTTAACGCTGTCCTTCTCTTTCAGCCTTGCCCGAAGAGACTTGCCCGACAAGTTCTTGCCCGACGAGACTTGCCCGACAAAGCCCGACAGGAAAGCAGAAGCCCGACAGCAGCCCTCAACCGGCGCCGAACCCCCAGGGGAGCTATGTGCTCGTTGGCCAGGAAACATCCCCTACGGGAATTCCTACCCCGAACATAAAGTTTTGCAATGGCTCGGAGAATCAAGTTTCCGGTGCTGCTTGAGCTCTTCTCCCTTGAAAGTAAATCCCATGCATTAGCAAACTTCTGGTATGCTAAATCTACTTTATTTCAGCAGCCAGAGAAGGGATGTCTTCGAGAACTAATGTTTTCGAGGAACCCAAGTTGAGTAATGGGTTTTAATCCAAGAAAATATAAATTTGTTGAAAAAACTGGCA